CCCACCCACCCACACACACACACCCACCCACCCACCCACCCACACACACACACACACACACACACACACACACACACAGAGAAGCCTTGAAGTCTAGCCCTTGATACCGTTTTTTGGCGATGGCACCGATCACCGCTGGTTGGGAGGATGAGTGTCAGTGACCTCGTGTAGAACACCGAACACTTAAGGCTCAAGACCAGCCTCAAGCTTGAACCACCCTGCAGACACCGGACTGGTATCCACCCTTCGTCCAGCAGCATGACAGGACGGCTGCTATCCTTGACCCAACCCCCTTGCCCCAATAACCCCTAAACCCCAAATCCTACACCCCTTAACCCTAAACCCTAAACCCCCCTTACCTCAAACACTAATAACCCAAAGCCTCGCTCCTCAGCAAGCCCGACTTTCAGGTCAATTTGGAGCTCAAGCTTCTGGCTTCTTGGATGGTTTAGGGTTTGGGGTTTAGGGTTTAGGGTTTAGGGTTTAGGGGTTTAGGGTTTAGGGTTTAGGGGATGGCGCTCGGTCGGTTCGCGGGTTCAGGGTTGAGGCAGGAGGGTTTAGGGTTGGTTCTTTGAGGTGAAGGGTGGAGGGATTACGCTTTGTGTCAGGGAAGCGACTCACATGTTCAGACCGATGGGGCCGGGTATAGGGTGTTAGGGTTTAGGGTTTAGGGTTTAGGGTTTAGGGTTTAGGGTTTAGGGTGTTAAGACCCTATAATAAGCCCCAACCCACACCTTCAAACCGTAAAATCCTAATCCGGGACTTGAAAGAGTTGCTTTTGGAAAGATCTGGGGCGCGTCGTTGGGCTGCGTCCCCTGGGAAAGAGAGAGTCTGGAGGAGGTTTAGGGTTTCGGGTTTAGGGTTTAGGGGTTCAGGGCTTTGGGTTTAGGGTTTAGGGTTTAGGGTTTCCGGATTAGGGAGGGGTTCGGGTTACCAGAGATCTGGCCAGCACAATCCAGAACTCTAGTGCTTTGTGCGCATGCCACGCACACCCTTAACCCTCAGCCCTAACTCCTAAACCCTATAAAACCCAAAACCCTAAAGCCCTAAGCCCTAAACCCAACCCTGAACTCTAAACCCTAAGCCCTAAACCCTAAACCCAACCCTAAACCCGAAACACTAAATCGTAAAGCCGACCCTTAAACCCTAAAGGTCGGGAAACACACGTGTCGATGCTTCTAATTGAGGTGTAGCAGGTTGAGGATCGAGGGTTGACGGGTCTAGGGGTCAGGGTTGTTGGGTTGCTGGTTTAGGGTTTAGGATTTCGGATTACTTGGAGGTTCATGGGTGGTTTGTAGGGTTTAGGGTGTAGGGTTCAGGGTTCAGGGTTTCGGGTTTAGGGTTTAAGGTTCTCATAGCTACACATGAGCCTCCAAGCACACGGAAGGATCGGGGTTGCCAGCTTGAGGGCCCACGATCTGAGGGGAGGACTGTCAGTTTCTGGAGATTCTGGGCGAGGCGTAGGGTTTAGTTTCGGGGTAAGGGTTTAGGGGGCTCATCACAATCTCTGATTCAGTCCTCTGTGCTCGACAGTCTGTGTGACAGGCGAAGACACATACAGAGCAAGCTGGGCATCATCATCGATGCCCAAACCTGCCGCATCAAGGTCAGTGTGTCCTACATCGATGAGGCGAGGAAGATGCTGATCAATGCTAACATCACCAAGTACAGTGTCATCATCATGGCCGGCCCCCGTCTGGACTTCTCGCTGGCATCCACAGCCGTGCAGTGAGCACGTTTGAAGGGACCGGGTCGCCGTGATGCAGATGACTTGTGGCCAGCTGCAGACGAACAAGACACAACCGGGCTACATGGCGTGTACACCCTAAACCCTAAACCCTAAACCCTGTGCTGTGCCAGGCGTCACAAATAATTCAAAGTGCGGAACCTGATGAGTCGGGAGTCCTACACCGCAAGAGCACTAAATCCCAAAGCCACTTGGGTTTAGGGTTTAGGGTTTAGGGTTGCCTCATAGTAACCCGTAAAGTTCAGGGAGCCCCTTGAGTAAACTTCTCGTAGCCCGTACTTGGAGGATCATGGGATTCTGTAAATAAGCTTATCAGTACCTTCATTCGGATGTGGTGCAAAGTCATTCTAAGTATAGTTACCTCAATAACAGCCCTAGCGCAGATTCTTACGGTCCTGCTACTTGGCGAAGACTCAGCCCCTTGATCCTGTAAAGGACAATTACCCATAAACGCCTAACCTCCAAACCCTAAACCCAAAACCCAAAACCCTAAACCCTTAAGTCCCTTGGTCCTGCAAGGACAATTACCCCTAAACGCCTAACCTCTAAACCCTCAACTCAAAGCCCAAAACCCTGAACCCTTAAGTCCCTTGGTCCTGCAAGGACAATTACCCCTAAACGCCTAACCTCTAAACCCTAAACCCTAAACCCTGTGGCGGCCTTCCAAGGAGTCGACGGCGCCGAAGACGAAGGCTTGGGTGCCAGAGGCCGGCTTTGCTTTTGGGCCGTTGAGTCCAGGCTTTAGGGCTTAGGGTTTTAGGGTTCAGGTTTAAGGTTTAGGGTTTAAGGGGTTTCGGGTTGGGGGCTTTTTGGGTTTAGGGTGTAGGGTTTAGGGTTCAGGCTGCAGGTTGGACTTACATGATTGAGCTTTCTAGAAGCCTGAGTAAGTGCCAGTAGTCTTCCTGAGGGCTCCCCTATTGTGGTCGTACTATAAGATACACCAAAAGCTCTATCCTACTTATTGAATGATTGAAAGGCCCCTGTAGGTGGAGGGTGTCAAGACATAGGACCAGGATCGCTTCCCCACGGTGGGGGAGTGCTTGGGGTTAATTAAGCAACCGGGGGCCCCCTACTGATAGCCATGATTAGAGCCTACGCCTTGCGTTTAAGTTATGATGTCCGTTCATCCTCCGAGTAGATAGGAACCTCACCACAGCAATACTATAGGGGCCTTAAGAATTACCTATGTTATCTTGGGGTTCCTTATTATATATAGTATAAAGTATAAAGGGCCCTAAAACCCGAGTCTAATTACTTTATTAAAGCCGCTACATTACCTCAGGCTCCCGCGAAAGGAGCTGGGGGTCAACAACAGCAAAGCTTCGACTTTGCAGGCTAAATGTAGGGCCCTCAATGATTACCAATACTACGGTTGATGATAAGGTTTAGGGTTTAGGGTTTAGGGTTTCGGTTGATGATATAAATCCTGCCCACTACCCATAATGAGGACTATGCCATTAATTCCCATAGTTTACGGTCCTCAAGGTAATGCGGGGTTTATATCATCAACAGTATTGTCGGGGGTTCCCTTTTAAGATTAGAGTATAGTCTACACCAAGTACAACCCTATTCTAATTATTAAGACACCTACCTAAACCCTAAACACCTTTACAACAAGCCCCGGAACCCTGGCGGGCATCACCAGCCACGCATCAAAAGCTCTTCAACTAACACCTCACACGACCTCACCAGAACATTCTTGCAATGGCTTTTTGGTGCCTTACACAGCCCTTTTGGAAAGGCCTGGAATCCTTTAGTCCGGGTTCTCATGAGGTGTTAAAGCCCGTTTTGGAACCCCAGAAACTTAAACTCCGGAGGCCACTGAGCTTTGCAAGTCCATGCGCTTAGCTGCGAAGCTCCGAGAATGGGCTCCAAGCGACTTGGCAAGAATTTACAGGGTTTAGGGTTAGGGGGTAGGCTTTGGGGTTTTTGGGTTTACGGTGGAACTATCCCAAACTGCCAAATCCTGAGTCCGGAGTTAAGTGTTGCGATTTACGGGTTTTAAGGGTACGCAATGAGGGTTTGATGCACAGGGGAACCCTAAACCCTAAACCCTAAACCCTAAACCCTAAACCCTAAACCCTAAACCCTAAACCCTAAACCCTAAACCGCATGCACGGAGTGCCCTTGGTTTGATTGCAGGGTCTGTGTAGCGCTGTACTGCTGCCAAACCCACTGTTCCACTTGGGTGGTTGTCAAAATTATGGTCCCTTTTTGGGTCCTGATTATAATACGGCACCTTTTTTTTTAGGGTACCCCAAAGGGACCCTAATTTTGACAACTACCCTAAACCCTAAACCCTAAACCCTAAACCCTAATTTTGACAACTACCCACTTGATGGTCTTTTGTCCTCGCGCTACATCCGAAGCCCTTCTTAGCCCGCAGCAATAAGGTTTAGGGGTTTAGGGTTTAGGGTTTAGGGTTTAGGGTTTAGGGTGGTAGTTTTCTAAATTAGGGTCCCTCTTGGTTGGGGGTCCTTTTTATAAGGGTGCCGTACCATATTGGGAACTAGAAAGGGGCCCTAATTTAGAGAACCACCCATAAGGTTTACTCTAGAGGGGCGCTCGGAGGTTCATGGGTAGTTATAAGAGAGGGTATAAGTGGGAGAACTACAGTCATGATGGAATCTGTAACCCTGTTTCTAACTACTCATGAACCAACAAGTATGCTTTCGGGCGTGGTGGTTTCGGGTTTAGGGGGAAGCTTACAGGTCCTTAAAGGTTTAGGGTTTAGGGTTTAGGTCGCAGTGGTCATGATTCAGGCTTCTGTTTCAAGACTCCTAAACCCTAAGCCCTAAGCCCTAAACCCTTACCCTAAGAGACCCGAGGCATGCTTCACTTGCGGAACCAGAGCCTGTCGGAGCTCTTCAAAGACTCTGGCAAGGCTCGCCCCATGAGACCGCGGGTGGTTCCCTAAATTCGGGTCCCTTGTGGGGTTCCTGAATAAAGGGATCTATAAGGGTTTCTATAGGGTTTCCAAAAGGTCTACACGGAGAGTTCTCTAAACTAGGGGCCCTTTTCGGGTGTGTTTCACAAGGGTGTCGTATCATTTTGGAGGATCTGAAGAGGGGTCCTAGAACCCTAAACCCTAAACCCTAAACCCTAAACCCTAAATTTGGAGAATTACCCATGTAGAGGTACTTTCCCCTCAGCCAACGTTAGACCGTCCTTGTTTGGGGGTCATGAGTATCCTCAGCCCCAAAACCCTCCCGAAACCCTAAACC